TCTAACTATTATGAACCTAGGCACATGTACAACCCCAACGTAGTTTGCCATTACTGTAATAGGATAGGCCATATTGCTCCCGTTTGTTACACTAGGCATAGGCACCTATCACAAAATCAAGCACACTACCATCACACACCTAACACCCGAGGACCCAACGTAAATTGGGTACCTAAAACTCATTGATGTGTTTCATATGTGTGCTTGAAGGCATCAAGTGTACTTTGGTACCTTGATAGCGGATGCTCCAAGCACATGACCGGGGATGCATCCAAGTTTCTCCAAATCAAACCCGCTAAAGGAGGAAACGTAGTTTTTGGAGATAACAGCAAGGGAAAGATCATTGGCATTGGTTCAGTAGGTAAATCTGAAAACTCCTCTATAGATAATGTCTTGCTTGTTAAAGGTCTCAAACACAATCTCTTGAGCATAAGCCAATTATGTGACAAGGGAAACAGTGTGACCTTCGATTCAAAATCATGCACTGTAGAACGCCTTAGTGACAATAAGGTCATTCTACGTGGTGATAGAATCGATAACATTTATATGGTTAACTTAGACAAATCTCCCTTTGGCTTTGCTAAGTGCCTCATGAGTAAAGAGGAAGACACTTGGTTATGGCACCGAAGGGTAGCTCATATGAACATGAACCTTTTGAATAAATTGGTATCACAAGACTTAGTAATTGGCATTCCAAAACTTAAGTTTGAAAAAGACACCATATGTGATGCGTGTCAAAAGGGGAAGCAAGTTCGGGCTTCGTTTAAGTCTAAGAACGTTGTTTCAACGTCTAGACCGCTTCAACTTTTGCACATGGATCTCTTTGGTCCTTCTAGAACGAAAAGTTTTGGTGGCAACTACTTTGCATTTGTGATTGTCGATGACTACTCTAGGTTTACATGGACCTTGTTTCTTACTCATAAAAGTGAAGCATTTCATGTTTTCAAAAATTTTCTAAAGAAATTAAAGTTCAAAATGAAAAAGATACAACCATAGTAGTCATAAGAAGCGACCATGGGGGAGAGTTCGAACGAAATCTGTTTTCAGATTTGTGTGACGAACTTGGCATTGATCATAACTTCTCAGCCCCACGTACACCACAACAAAATGGAGTAGTGGAACGTAAAAATAGATGTCTCGAAGAGATGGCTAGAACTATGATCAATGAGGCAAAAATCCCTAAGTATTTTTGGGCGGATGCCGTGAGTACTGCGAGCTACGTGTTAAACCGAGCCGTCATTCGACCGATACTCATGAAAACGCCCTATGAACTATACAAAGGGAGAAAGCCAAACCTTTCCCATCTTCGAGTCTTTGGTTGCAAATGCTTTATTCACAATAACGGCAAAGATAACTTGGGAAAATTTGATGCCAAGGCGGACGAAGGGATTTTTCTTGGTTATTCTCTTCGCAGCAAGGCCTATAGAGTATTTAATAAACGTACTTTGACTATTGAGGAGTCCCCTCATATTGTATTTTCCGAAAATAATACTCGCTTGGCGAGAAAGGCTATTTGTGATGATCTTGCAGATTCATTGGAGAGAGTACACATTGAGGACGATGAAGAAGACACGCCATTATACACCAACCCGCAACCACAACCTGAGGAAACACCTCAAGTGATGGTCGAAAATGAGGACCAAGCGGACGAAGAAGAACAAGAGGAAGCCCAGGAACAAAAGGAAACCGAGCTTCCCATCGCTTGGAGAACGCACAGAAACCATCCACTTGATCAGGTAATCGGCAGCATCAACCGCGGGGTAAGTACTCGTAACTCTCTTAGGGACACCGTAGGACACATGGCTTTTGTATCTCAAATTGAACCTACAACCATTTCCGAAGCAATAAACGATGAACATTGGACCTTGGCTATGCAAGAGGAGCTAAACCAATTCAAACGGAATGACGTTTGGGAATTGGTGCCAAGGCCCGATGATCATACGGTTATTGGTACGAAATGGGTGTTCCGTAACAAACTTGATGAAAATGGAATAATCCCTAGAAACAAAGTTAGGCTCGTAGCTAAAGGCTACAATCAAGCAGAAGGCATTGATTTTGAAGAAACGTATGCACCTGTAGCACGTTTAGAAGCTATTCGTTTACTTCTTGCTTTTGCTTCGTCTATGGATTTTAAACTTTATCAAATGGATGCTAAGAGTGCCTTCCTCAATGGTTTTATTCAAGAGGAAGTGTATGTTGACCAGCCCCCGGGGTTTGAGGACTTTGAGTTTCCCGATCACGTCTTCAAACTCAAGAAAGCGCTCTACGGTCTTAAACAAGCACCACGTGCTTGGTACGAACGTTTGAGTAAATTTCTTTTGGATAGTGGTTTCCAAAGGGGAAAGGT